GAAGCATCTCATGTGAATCTCTGTTTTGCATAAAATAACAAAAAAACTGTTGTTCTTGTTTAGTCAAGGGAGGACCTACAATTAAGCTCTTGATAGCGCCAACCGTGCATGCTGCTGCAAGAATTATCGACCACGGTTCATAGTTTCTCCAAACCTTAAAAAGCCGTGGTTGATGAGCTTGTTTAAATTGTCCTGGAATGGGAGGCATTGAAAGACGTTCATAGGGGACATTACTTGTTAGATATGTCCAATTATTCCCAAAATGGTGAAAGCTTGCAAGATAAAAGGCATAGTTGCGCTCAGCATATTTGATTATCCCTGCAATTAAAACTAGGAGGGATGGCAGCCAAAGTTTGTTATGTGGGAGTGACTGAAATATGACATAGATAGTCGAACCAACTTGTAAAATGAGCCCAAGCAAGTGCCTAATCCATAATTCATTATCTTCCAGAGAGAAGGAAGTAATAGTGTCGGGACCACCAAGATGCAACAAAAGAAAGGGTGCCCAAAAAACCAAGATGTCACTGCGTTCATCAGTACGCAACATGAGTCCAATGGTAAATGTAGCCACCCAATCTGCAAGCAGATATGCTATCCAGAGTGGAGTCATGATGACCCATTTCCCACCTCTTTGCTTTCTTAATGGTGCAAGCAAAATTAGGAAAGACTGTACAAAGAGGCTTAGAATAATCAGTCCTCTGATATTCCAAGTATCCCATAGCTTATGGACCTGTTCGGCACTGAACAGTGGCATCTTCTTTAATCTGCTTTATTTTGTTTTGCCAAAGGTAGTCCAACTTTAACCAACACACTTAGGGATGCAGTGAGTCTAGTTCAACCACAACCTCTTAAATTGGATATCCTACATTAATAGATCACATAGACTTCGGGTTCAATCTTTTGAGACTAAAAGATTATATGTTAGAGAAAAAAAATTTAAAAATTATACTGTATTTTAGAGAATAGTGTAAAACTGGTCATCTTTTAAAAATTTTTTTAGATGATTTTTGTCTAAAAATTTACTTTCTAATTAATATTTTTAAAAACTCATTGTTAAATTTAAAGTTTTATTCATGTTAATCATGCATGTCAATTTTTATAATAATTTAAGACTTGCAACCCTTTGAAAAAAAATTTATTTACTGATATATATTTAATAGTATTAAATTTCTTATAATCAACGAAATAGTTAAACTTACTAGAACATTTTAAAAATTAGTATAAATAATCTAGACGAATAGAACTTTCAATCCAACAATTAATTTTAAAAAATATTTTTAAAAAAAATACAAAACGCTTTTCATATATATTAGAAATAAATAATGCAGTAATGTAGTTAATTGATTTCCGTACAGCTACAACTCCTGTACCATAATAAAATTTTACAATATGTTTTATTATTAAAAATCTTTTTCCCTTTGGGTATTTAATTTGATAGCTTCTAGTCTCTCTCCCCTGTCCCCTGTTTTCTCATTTTTCTGTTATACAATTCCGTCTTTGTGAGTGTTTTACATTTTTTGACAGTATGGTATCTATAAAAAGTAAATTTATTATAAGTAATTAATTTTAATTTATATTTTACATTTTTTTAATAATTTTAATTAATATTTTATATATTTTTGCCATAAAAAATTTTATTATTTAATTTACTAGCATAATTTTATAGTGATATTTTTTTTTCCAAAAATTGACTTTAATGTGAGTCAAATTTTTAATAAATGGTATTAAAAATTAAAGAGGGAAACTAAATTCCAAACAGAGCGCAA